AGGAGCTGGAAGAATAGTGGGAAGGAAAGGAGCAGAGAGATGAGCCTCGGATGCGAAAATTCTTCCCGAGGAGACTCAGGATTAAATGTAACAGTGCATTTGCTTGTAACACAGCACATAGAATAATCTTTGGCCCTTAGGAATTTAGAATGTGGAAAAGTAAAGCAGGGCCATGATTTTTCATTTTTTCTATCTTTCTTTCATCCTTATCAAAAACTGTATTGTTTCTGACATGATGGCACACAGATTTAATCCCAGCGCTCTAGCAGCAGAGGCAGGCAGATCTCTACCAACTTGTCCTATATTATATAGTTAGTTCCAGGCCAGCCAGGACCACATTATGATATCCTGTCACAAAAATAATAATAAAAAAAAACAGTATTTTTTAGTTGGCAATTTTTTATTGCTATTTCTCTGAAACTGAAATTTTAATTTCAAAATAGTGATCCAAAATATATAGAATAGTTATCTGAAACCTGAAGCCACAGGTCAGGAGCCATGCGAGCTCTGATTTAATCCTTAGGTAACTGGAAGAGCGATAAACCAAAGCCCGGCGATAGAGTGCTCACTAGACACTGCCAGTCATCCCTCGGGCTTCTGTAAACATGGCTGCGTTTGCTTTGCTCAAACCTCCTGTTTGCTTTGTACTGTCATTAAATGGAGCGCTATATATTAAATGTAGCAAAGCCTCAGGGGCTGGAAGGTAAACCACCACTGCTACCTGTAAGTAGAATCCTGTACCAAAGCTTAAGAACCGTTGCTTAGCAAATGCAGCAAGACATGACAACAGAGGTGCATTGGGGACAAGCCCAGCTTTCTTCACTCCCATGTCAGGCACAGCCTTCAGCAACCGCTATAGAGCTTTACATGGGGCTGCTCCTGTGCTTAGTGGTAGCCAATTCATTGTGGTTAACGAAATCAAGAGCCTTCCAAAGCCAACTTCTGAAGTCTAACCCATCTGTGCAAGAATTAGCTTAACTGCATTTTGTAGCCACAACCTCTACCATAACCAGTTGAGGTGAGTCACAAGAAGTGCTACAGCTCAGAAGAATCACCATGTGTTTGTGGTACCTCTCCCTTGACCGTGTTGTGGGAAATTGTTGTAATTATGTTGTGGTCTGCAAGATCTGTAATTGTTGTATCAGCCTGAAGAAACTTGTAAGGTTTTTGTATGTTTTCTGTAATAGTTTTTACCTGTAATATGTGGCTCTCCAGTTCAGTACCAAGCAAGAAGAGCAGTCTAGGCAGTTTTAAAAGATGAAGAACTTCCCTGTAGTAATTCAGTAAAGTTTTTGTCATGTATAATTACTACAGAACAAACGACAGAGAAGTGAAGGCTCAGAAAAACCTGGGAGAAAACATGGTCCTTCAACAAGGCACCAGTGAGGGGCAGAGTGGGCTAGAGACCAGGTTCCCAGAGCCTTGCAGTCCGCTAGTCTAGCGGAAGCCATGGGTTCCCGGTTCACACAGATACCATCTCAAAAGACAAGATGGGGAGAGAGAGACAGTATCAGTGTCTGTCTTCTATGTGTTCTCACACATATGATCACACTTGCATACACACACACACACACACACACACAAAGCAGGGAGGTAGAGGCTTATGAGCAGACAGGGGTACTGTTTAAACTAGTTCCTGTCCTGCCACCTTGCACCCCATGAATTTTTACATTATGTAGTATAAAAAATAGGTTTAAAAAAATACCAAACATTTACCGATAGCAAATCGTAAATCTACTTTTAAAAATCCTTGGTAACTTACTAAAAACAAGAAGTCTGAATACTAATAAGATGTGTTTGGTTTTGCTTATGGACTTAAATCTTGGCTGAACATTTATTAATGTAGAATATCAAATAACATTTTTTTTAGTTAATGATTTTATAATTGTCACTTCTAACAACACTACATATTTAGTTCAAGGTGACAAAAAAATTGTGAGGGATATCTCTGAAGTTATTGGAAATTCTGCCCTAATTCTAAGCAGGTGTTTACTGAAGTGTGTGCAAGTGTGCATGTAACTCATCAGTGATCTGCACAGCAGTTTTTGAAATAAAAATTCTCTAACAACACAATCTGGGGATAGATGAATTTGATACTCTCATGCCGAGAAATGATCATGGAGCACATTACAGCTGTGTTTGCCATAATTAAACCAGAGGACGCTGTGTAAGCAGTGGCTGCACTTCTTATTTAATACAAAATAGTCCAAGCAGAGGTGGGCTCTGCTGTCGCACCATGCTGCAGTACAAAGTGCACATCTGTGTGCTCAGCCCTGGCAGAAATGAGAGCTCACAGGGTAGCAGGCGAGTGCTGCCTCCAATACCTTTACCACACATGGGTTTGCGGTTTCTTTTGTATTGTACATCCATTTTCCTGTGTCCAAATTCATGTATCAGATTTAAGAAATTTTAAGTTAGACACCCCTCTGAAAGCTTTCCTATCTTGCTAGATCTCTCTCTCTCTCCCTCCACCCCCGTCTCTCTCCCTCCTTCCCTCCCACCCACCCTCCCTCTCTTTCTCTCTTTCTTCTTCCCTTTCTCCCTCCCTCCCTCTCTCTCCCTCTTCCTTTCTCCCTCCCATCCCTCTCTTCCTCCCTCACTCTGCCTCTCTCCCTCTCTCTCCCTCTCTCCCTCGCTCTCTCCACCTCTCCCCCTTTCTCTCCCTTGCTCTTGTCTTTTTGTAAATGAATTCTATTCTTTTTCTTGCCTCTTTTCCCCCTTTTGCCCCTGTGATAGAGTTGGGTGTGCTTGTTACATGTTCCTCGAAGAAATTCTAGAGCCATGGCTGGTAGTATGCTGTGTTTAAGAGTGATGATGGTTGGTTACCACTCTGTAAACTGGAGGATGGTTTTGATTATATGCCACCTGTATCAGTAAAACATGTTATACTTTCTTCTTTAAAAAAAAATCTGCTTTAAATCCAGTCTATATTAAATCACTCATAAAGTAAACATACTTTCTACCAATTGGATGTAGTGGTAATATCTACCACTCATATACATTTTAGCTGTAGTTTCTTTATAAATTTCTACGATTTTTGGCGTGAACTAGGAAAAGATAGCTTGGTTGCCATTCTCTTCTCCCATTTAAATCTCTCCCTTCCCCTCCTCCTTCTCTGTCTTTTCTTTTTATATACATATTCTCTTCTCAGCTGTCAGTGGAATTATTGTCTTCCTGTTTCCATATTCAGGTAGTGTCGGTGGCTGAGTATCACCGCAGGATCGATGCTCTCAATACTGAAGAACTGCGCACACTCTGCAGACGTCTCCAGGTGCCCCTTCTGTAGTCTAAACTCCTTTGGAGATTAAATGCTCCTTGGTTTTAGTGTCCTTCCTCAAGACAAACCTCACATTAGAAGGATTTGTCTTGAATGAAGCACTAAAATAAGCCACCAGGAAATTCCTTTTTGTCTTGAAGAATGGTTTTTTTTCTTGGAGAGCTGTAGAAATACGTTTCCTTTTTTTCTTTCCTTCATTATGTTTTTTTTTTTCTTTTTGCCTCTTTGCTATCTTCTTTTCACTAGAAAAGTTTCCACCACAATCAGCCCTTTGAGAACTATTCTCAGCACGATCACCTATGAGTTTTCATTTAATTTTGACATTGGGAGAATATTTGGTTTTGTGAAGGAAGCTTTATTGACTAAGTCTGAATGATACCAGACAGTGGGAAAATTATAAAGGCCTCTATGGAAAGTAAGGCTTAAGTGTTTGCTCTTCAAGGCTGTTTCGGCTGAGGGAACTAAGGATCAAATCCTAATGGGACAAATTGGTTCTGTTCTTGAGGCAGTCCTGGTTGGTGTTAGAAATGCTTCGGGGGCTAGTCTAGGGAAGGCACCTGAGCTAGATCCATCACTTCAAAGGTTCTGAAATAATCTGTGTTGTTTAAGAAAAGTAATAAAATTGAAAACTCATTTTTCAGTTTGTGTTTCCTTGTTATAAAAGTATGCTTTCTGCTCTCATTGCTTTCCTAGGCTGACTAAATAGCTCTCCTTTGATTTTCCCAATGCTGCCTTGGATTTCTGTTTTGTTCCATTTTAACCTTTCACATCATTGAAATCAAGGTAATGCAGTGATGTGAAAGTCTTCGTGTTTAACTGCTCATCAGAAACAATACGGTTCTCAAACATGCATTGGCTGAAAATACATCCTGTCCAGACCTGGCAAGCGCTGTGCTGACGGCCCAGGGCTCACTCCTGAGTGGCACTGTCTCTGAGCTGTGCTGCATTTTAGTTATCTGCTCCAGTAGGATTCTGTGGGGTTTCCAGTTGAAATGTTTCATCAACAATAATTACAGTTTTATGTGTTAGGGTTACTGTATTTTAGATCCTAAAACTAATGGAAAATGTAAGCACTAACAATCGATGATAAAGTAAGATTTTTAATTAACATTTTTGTCATTTTATGAATACCAGTGCTGATTTCTACAAATAAATGCAACCAATTCATCTAACCTTAATTATGAACAAATTAATTTTCATATTTATTGTTTGCTCCCAGCCTATGAAAAGTAACTTTTTTAGTAAGTTCAAAATAAAAGGCAGTTTTGTAAAATAGTCGCTTCAATGAGCCAAGTAAAAACATCCCAAAGAAAGTTACCAGCTTTAGTCTACAATTCTTTAAAATTCTGACACAAGAAATCCTATTAATAATTTTGACAATTTTTTTATTTTGTGTGAAAAAATAGCATATATTTTAAAGAACACTTAGTTAAACAGTTCCCTTTTTGTCCTTAAGGGCTAAGCTGTATGTGTATGCTTCCTGTCACCCAGAAACAGGAGATATAACATATGTTGCCCGTTCTTCCTCATGCTGTGGATGAAATGGACGTTTTCTATCCTCTTGTGCATCCAGCACACTGTCTATACTCGATTGGAACATCTTTTGCTCTGTGAACTCTTTAGCCACCTGTACATAATAATGTTTTACTTAACTCAAAAGGCTGAAATGTGCAGAACTCATCACAACAGTGTATGAACATACTGCTGCTGTTTACTTCTTTAGATTACTACAAGGGAAGACATCAACTCAAAGCAGGTTGCTCCAGCAAAAGCAGACCTGGAGCCTGAATCTTTCCGTCCAAACCTAAGCGACCCCAGTGAACTCTTACTGCCTGATCAGATTGAAAAGGTATGCCATGTCAGCTGCAGCATCTGAGTGTGTGCGATGAGAGGGAAGCAGCCTCTTCAGTTCCTCTCCAGCTGCAGGGCTCCTGCTGCTGCTGCTCCTCTTCATGAAGAGTAAGTGGGCAAAGCAGAGCCTCCCACAGCAGGTCCCAAAGGCCTGACATAAAGCTTAGGAGAGACACTGGAGAGCCAAGGTTGTTCTGGTTCTTACAACATAGTCTTAGTGTGGCGCCTAAGCTGAACGCCAAACTCCTGATTCCCTGGCCTTCCCTCTAGTGCTAGATGACAAGGCCTCACCATGCCTGGCAATCTTTGGTTTGTTATGTGCCAAGTTACACATTCTCCATGTGTTATCTCAGGCCTTTGTTATCAAAGCTCTCAAAATTAGAGATTATTGTTGTTTGTATTCTTGGTAGGTGAAGAGATCATTCATGTAGAGATGTTAAGTAATCTATTTATTCAGTGTCATAGCTATAAAAGATTTCCAAGCTCTAGCAATCTGACTTTGAATGATCATGCTAAAAATTGACCCAATATTTTTGTTAATTTGGTACAGTACAATTAACAAGCAAGCCGTGTTTCTAGTGGGAGCTTGGTTTGGCGTTACTCATTTCCTAGTAGACAGTGATATTTCTTGCCGAGAAGTGTGTAACTCCTATTGCAGCATCACAGAATCAGTAAGAAGACGGTTTCTGACGTTTCCTTTTTTTAGCCTACATTGTATATGGTGATTAAATTGCAGCTGCTGATGTGTGCAATCAAGTAAATACTACATTTGTTTCTCTAAGCTTACTAAGCACCTTCCACCGAGAACCATTGGCTACCCATGGACTCTTGTGTATGGTACTGGGAAGCATGGCACAAGTTTGAAGACCCTTTATCGAACAATGACAGGTTTAGACACTCCGGTGCTGATGGTGATTAAAGACAGTGACGGGCAGGTATGAGAATCTAATCATCTGAATCCTTTCTCCTTTACTAGTAACACCAAGCTACTTATTTGTTAAAATATATTTCACTAGTGTATTTTAGTGCATAATCGATAATTATTGTTTCATTGCACAAGACAATACTGAGTGTTTTAGAGGTTAAATGTAAGAATAGGGGCTGGAGAGATGGCTCAGCGGTTAAGAGCACTGACTGCTCTTTCAGAGGTCCTGAGTTCAAATCCCAGCAACCACATGGTGGCTCACAACCATCCGTAATGAGATTGGATGCCCTCTTCTGGTGTGTCTGAAGACAGCTACAGTGTACTCACCAATAAAATAAATAAATAAATATTAAAAAAAATGTAAGAATAGTAAGAGTTTTGTATTGAAAGGAAGCAGTTATGATAAAGGTGATTTTATCCTACCAGAATCTTTAAAGGTGAGCATAACTTGCTAAGTATATCAAGAGCCCAGAAACAGTGTTTGTGTCTATGAGGAAGATAAGAATGAGACTTATGGAAGGGAGAGAAATTAACAGACTCTTAAGAATGAATAGATGTTTAAAAATATTGTTTTGCATTTATTCTTTGATTCCAAGTATGTTCATGATGCATTTTGTTCATAATTTTCCACTAAGAGCCTCTGTGATTCTTATCAAACTGAATTCCTTTATTTCCCCAAAGTCCCCCCTCTTACTTTCAAGTCTTGTGAGGGACGTGGGGTTGTGTGTCCCACAGTGTTTCATTAGGGTGGTTTGCATAAGTTAGGGGTTCTTCCTGGAGCATAGGCCACTTACTAACGGCCGTACTACTGAAGAAAATGACTCCTTCCCCAGAGTAATTAATAGGTAGTTTTTAAGGTCATTGAGCAATAATAAAGGAAGCTCATAGAGAAGACAAACCCCGGACAGTAGTGAAAGGGCAAAATGGAAGCATCACGCAGTAGAGAGCAGTGGCGCTCCTACTGGCTTGCTGTGTCTGTTATGTACCAGGTACCTAACTAGCTGTCTTCTCGTTGTCTAATCTAAACCCTGCGGAGATTAATAGTCATCCCTGATTAGAATTAACATTTGTGAGGTGATATACTCAGGAATAGGTATTAGAATCAATGAAAATAAGTGAACTACCACTAGGTACCATAGCATATAGATAAATGTTGAGAGAATAATATGGGTTCAAAAATCACAAAATAAAGCGTTCCTTACTTATGATTCCATGTAAATTCATAGTGAGAAAAATGAGCTTCTGATGGTGTCAGAGCGTATCTTCTCCAGGAAATGGGGCTGAGGGAAAGAGACACACAGAGTTTTCTAAGGACTAATGAAGGTCTGTCTTTTGGGACTAATAACAATTGTAATTGAACTATACATTTATATTCTGTACACATTCTTTTAAATAAAATAACCTTTTATATGTAAGTTTTTAAAGTTGATACTGTAATGGTCGAATGTTTGGCATAGTGACTGTAAAGGTGCATGAGTGCTACATTGTCCTTTCATGATATGAAAGCTGAGACTCAGAACACTGACGTCTCCAAGCCTCATCCTCATTTGACTTTTGTTGTTTACAGTATCCACTTTCTGTATTGAAGGCTAGCGCAGCCAAGGTATGCCCTTAGGGTATGTTCTGTGTAATGATGCAGGAAGGAAAGGGTGTGTACAGTAAAGGACTTCCACTTTTCTTCAGGCTGCGATCCAGTAGAGAATGTACGGATGGACTCTGACTTCTTTCTCTTAAAATATATTTAACACTTTTAGATAGTATATCCGATGTATCTTTCTAGGCTTAAAGCCAGGGGAAATATTTTCTCTCACTCATACATGCTTTGTATGTGATAGGACTATGACAAGCTTGTCATTTCCCCTTAAGGAAAACTTACAAGAACTACTGATTCATTTTTACATTGTGTTGAACTATGTATGGAGGATAATGCAAAGGAAACAAATTAGTAGTTGTGTCATTGAACATGTCCTTTTTATCCTTAGGTTTTTGGTGCTTTAGCATCAGAGCCATTTAAAGTAAGTGATGGCTTTTACGGTACCGGAGAAACATTTGTTTTTACATTCTGTCCAGAATTCGAGGTAAGAAAAGTTATTTCAACATCACAAGTATATACAAAAGAGATGTTACGAAAGCTCATGCAGACCCATCAGTGCTTCTGTCTTAATAGAACTACTAATGATAAAGTCAGAGTCACTACAGAGTTCATCTGCATTTGTGCTTAGCGCTCAAACCTTTTTGTTATTTGTAGCTATCTGATAAATGAGGTAATACATTAACTATTTCCAACTGAAATATCAAAACTTTACTGAAACTTGTGACCACAACAGTCAGTCTTCTAGTAACTTGCCAAAGTAACAAACACAAAGGGAAGAGAACCACACACTGTGTGTTCTTCAGCTTTTAGGGAGCATGACAATGTTTGTTTAGCCACGTATATACACATCTATAAGAACAGTGATATTTTAAACATCAAGGGAATGGGTACTGTTCATAAAGTAATGTCTCATAAACGGTACCATCATAAAACTGGAAGACTACAGTGTCACCCAGCATGCTATTGGCACTGTTAAAGGCAAGTAAGCTTAGGATAATATTCTTGAGAATTAATCTGCGTGTTGAGCACATTAAGTTCTCTGTGAGCCGAAAAAGCTTCCTGAGGAGGGCAAAGGAAAATGATTTTTAAAAAAGAAGCTAAGAGAAAGGAAACTGGGTTTAGCTGAAGCACCAAGAGAAACACACTGACAACTAATGGAGAGGGGCTGAGCTACCAGAGTCCACTGCCTATGAATTCCGTGGCTTAGTATACAAAGAAAAAGAAGTAAATTTAAAAACTTGCTAAAAAGATGTGTAGGAATGTATCTATGTATGTATATATGTATGTAATAAGTTTGAAAACCATGATAAAGGTAAAGCACTCGGGCTATCTAATTAGGTAAATTTTCTATAGAATATGAGATTCATATGTGTAAAAATATGATATTGGGGTATAGGAAACAGTTCCTTGTTTAAGGTTCTCTGCAATCATGAGGACCTGAGTTTGCACCCCCAGCACTTGTAAAAGCTGGGCTTGGCTGCGTGTGCCTGTAGCCTCAGCAATAGAGGACTGAGACAGGTGGCCTGTTGTGATGCCTTGGTGGCCAGCCACTTTTACTAAATTAGTTCTGGTTTACCTGCGACCCTGCCTTAATGTACGAAGACTGAGAGCCATAGAGGAAGAGACCTGATGTCTGGCTCTGACCTCAACATGCATGTTCATGGGCATGTACCCCTACCTATACTTATTCATGCATTAAAAAAAAGTAGATACAAGACTGTTAAGTCTAGTTTTCCTTTCAGATTTCTCGGGGGCTTTAATTTGAAAAATCATAAGCATTATTAATCTAAAAATTGTATTATATTTTTAAATTCAAGAAATTGAAACCACAAAGAGATCTTGGCCTATAGCATTTACAGACATTTATGTTAGAAGAACAGTTAATGTCAGAAGAGAGAACTTTTGAATAAGAGTTAGGATCTGAGAAATAGGGATGGAGAATAAGGTAGAGTTGCCCACGTGCTTTCAAGGTGAATTGGAAACACAGAAATCTGAAGGACTGTTCTTTTTTCTGCTAAAACTTTGGTGGTGTTTTGTCTGTTGTGTTGGGAGGACTGTTGTCAACATATAGTCAACCCTTTATTTTCATTTATATAGGTCTTTAAGTGGACCGGAGATAATATGTTTTTTATCAAAGGAGACATGGATTCATTAGCATTTGGCGGAGGAGGGTAAGTCCCTTGATCATTTCACTATGAGATTCTTCAGGAATACGTTTAGATTATTTACAAAGTAAGTTATTTTTGGAAATGTTGGCATTAGACTCTAAATTTATATATTATGGCAAAGTATGTTTTTAAAATGGTTAAGTATAATACCTGTATTTGATAAGACAATGATAACACAGAAGCTTGTCATTTCCTCTTAAGGAAAAGTAACGAGAACTACTGATTCATTTTTCCATTGCATTGGACTATGTGTGTATGCAGATGAACTCTGTAGTGACTCTGACTTTACCATTAGTATGTTCTATTGAGACAGAAGCACTGATGGGTCTGCATGAGCTTTCGTAACATCTCTTTTTTACATAGTTGGTAAAGTACTTTTTTTTTTCATTTTAAAATGTCGGCTAGCTGATTTAAATTAAGACCTACCTTTTGATTTACAGTGCACTGGGTCTTTGGAATTCGACTAGTCTGAATCATTTTAATGTCTTGAATATCCAAGTACAGATGATAATATGCTGTCTATCTCATTGTTTAGGCAAGACCAATATTTTTCTTTTAGTTTTTCTCTGAGCTTCATTTTGATCTGTATTTCAGACAATTATAAAAGTTTGTTTTCCTATAATCAGGTTTAATAACACCATGTTCAAGGTCTTTGTTTTTCTTTAATAGTATCCTCCCTGCCTAACCTCCCTATGAAAACCTTTTTGTTTTCATATTCAGATATACTAATTTTGTCAGTGGTGTGGTACCCTCCTCTGCTACATCATAGGGTGTCCTTCTTACGTAGTATTTACATAGCTTGATTCTTAGGCATTTCTTCCTTTCCATTGGGATCAGATGTATGTGATGCTAAATGACCCCCAAACTTGTAAAAGTGATAGATTATTTACTTGTATACAATTACAGAAATATGACACTAATTTAGGCTACAGAATCTTAGCCTTCAAGACTATGCATCCAAGATAATTCCAGCAAATATTTTTCTACATAAATGTGTTTGTAAGTAGGCTCCTCTTGTCCGACTATAGTGTTTACATCATCCAATTACACAAATTATGTAGACGTGCCCAAAACGGTAATCATGCACATTATTCTGTCAATTCTCCCAAAACTTAGGATCCAGTGTTAATGATTTCAGGCTGTTATAGATACCTTAAAAAACAACATGTTTGGGCTCGACAGATGGCTCAGCAGTTAAGAACACTGACTGCTCTGCCAGAGGTCCTGAGTTCAATTCCCAGCAACCACACTGTGGCTCACAACCATCTGTAATGGGATCCAATGCTCTCTTCTAGTGTATGTCTGAAGACAGTGACAGTGTACTCATATAAATAAAAAAGTAAATAAATCTTTTTTCAAAAGACAACATGTTCAATCTCAGTTAATGAGATTTTTTTCTGTAATATGATTTCATCAAAATAAATAATCACTAACTTGTTCATTAGGAAGATAAGTCACCTGTGTTCAAAGAATACATGTTCAAACTTAGAAATTTTAAGAACTTAATATTTCAGAATTTTACATAGAAGGCCCTTTATGAGTCTATCTTCTATTGTTATAAAAATAGAAAAGAGGTTTGTTTAGTTCACAGATTTGAAAATGGACAGGTCAGTATTGGGTAGTACCATCTGTCTGCCTTTGGTGAGGGCCCCTTTGCTACATCACTACTACATACCATAGAAGGAAAAGAACTGATGTGGCCAGACTAGCTCACATTGTAAAGTGGGAAGCCACAAGAATTTAGCCCGCATAGGGTCCTATATAAAAGCTGTATTATCTTTGAGTGACATGGTATCCCTAGTGACTTAACCACTTCCACCATGTGTCAGATCTTAAATTTCCAATTCTTCAGCATAGCTACACTGGGGACCAAGCTACTAATATATAAACCTTTGAAATATACTCAAATTATAACCCTTCCTCCAAATTGGAATCATCATTTTATGGACTTAATAGAGGCTTTAGAGGCAACATATATTTCATGAGACCTTGAACTAACTCCCTAAAAGCCCTCAGCTAACTATAAACTAGAGATGACTCATCTTGGGGAGGATGCTCGCAAAGAAATTTAATCGATAAAATTTCTTTAAAATTCTGGTATAGTGTCTATCACACAGTAGGTTAAAATTCAGTCTCATTTATGCATTTCTTTTTTTTTCTTTTCATATTTGGTATAATAAGAATCCTGCTTGAGGGGCTGGAGAGATGGCTCAGCGGTTAAGAGCACTGGCTGCTCTTCCAGAGGTCCTGAGTTCAATTCCCAGCAACCACATGGTGGCTCACAACCATCTGTAATGGGATCTGATGTCCTCTTCTGGTGTGTCAGATGATAGCTACAGTGTACTCATGTAAATAAATAAATAAACCCTAAAAAAAAAAAATTAATGTAAGAGAGCATACGGGATGTTCTCAAAAAAAAAAAAAAAAAGAATCCTGCTTGAGGTTTGCTTGTAACAATACTGGACAAAGTAGTTAGCTATCATTCCTTTTACTTTTTTATCTACTATATTTTCAGAAACTCTTCATTTTTTAACATACAGCTCATATAGCAATGTGTTTTCTGTGTATTTCACTCAGGACAGAACTTTAACTCTTGAATATATTTAAGGACCATAGATCTCTTTAAGTGTGACAGCCATGGAACCAACAGCCCTGAAACAAGTAGAACAACTGAGTTTTAATTTGAGTTTTAAACTTTAGAAACTTCTAATAAGGGCCACAGAAAACTGAGGTTGCATTGAGTTGCGGGGAGCAAAGTTTATCTGTGGGAACAAAGGTTACTAAAGAATTAATGTTGTTTTTGAGATGCTTAGCTTAGATATATAGATTACCATTAAATAAATAATAACTTTACATATCAACGAAGAGGTTTTTTTTTAATTAGTATTACCAATATTAATGAATGGAGCATAGAAATTGGCTTCTTTTCCCCATGAGGTATTTTTTTCTGGTTTATATCATTTTTTGTTACTTTATACATTTTATTTTTGAGATTATAATTGTATCGTTTTTCTCTTCCATTTCCTCTATCCAAACCTTCTAATATATCTCTCTTCTTGCTCTCTTTCAAATTTGTTATCTCTCCATTAATTGTTGTACATGCGTGTACACATGTGCGCATATTCCTAAATACTAAATGTTCCGTCTGTATATCGTTTCTTGTATGTATATTTGCAGGGCTGATTGTGTAGTATAAGATAACCAATTTGGTATGCTGCTTTTCCTTGGTGAAGAATATTTCTCCCACTCAGTCTTCCTTAGTTGCCTGAGTTCTTCATGTCTGACTGAAGCCTGGTGGGTTTTTCCCACTTTGGCATGTCTGATGTTGTTTTTGGTTTAGTTCATGTTTAGGGAGTCGTGTTGGTGAGACTTAAGAGTGTACTCCTGACACTCCTAGGAGACACAGTCTCACTGCGCACTCCCTGACCTCACATTCTTCTCACGCTCTCTTCCACAATTATTGCCTGAGGCGCAATACTGGCATGTACCTGGGTGGAAACCAACAGCTCTCTAATTGGCCTTAAGACTCACTCAGCAAGAGAGAAGTCACGCCTGGGACTGGAAATCTAGCCAGCCACCCAGGGCTAGTGACATCAGGGGTCTTAGGAAAAAACCCTGTGGTTACCATTTTATTAACCTAGCGTAATCCACTACTCCACTTTAAATGTTTGTCCTTAGACCCACAGATAACTGTAGTCCTCCCCACTTTAACATTCACTTGGAAGCTGAAGAGAAGAAACAGTAGCAGTTAAGATGGAGATGACCCTGAAGTCTCTTCCACTGAGATGTGTTATATAATTCCGTCCTTTATGCCCGTCACGCCTGGCTTATGTCTTATTCCTACTGCTTGCTAAAGGATCCCAGGATCATGTCTCTTGTCTCTTTAAAGTCGTTTTCATGCCTTGCTAACAAAAAAAAACAAAAACAAAAACAAAAAAACAAACCAAAAAAAAAAAAAACCTGCCATTGTTTTCTCACTGTTAGAGAAGTATCTGAGCAAACACCCCTGTTGCTCGTCCTGATACTGTTTTTAATAGCAAAATATTTCTTTCTAAGCATCTAGAATAACTTAAGGTTTTTTCCTACCTTTACGGTTAACCCTCATTTTATCATATATGAATTTTACCACCTGTAAGAAAACCAAATTAAAAGAAAAAAACTAAAACTGTACAACAAAAAGAATGACTTGTGGTACAGTGCAGTGGTAGAGCACTCCTAAGAAAAGGAAAATACTAAAATAAGAAAGAAATACTTATACCACATGCCGAAAGGTAATTGTAATATGAAGTAAATTTTAGTGTTCTTAATTTATTCCTTAATTTCTGTAATAAATGACTTTATAATGGAAAAAAAAACAAAAGTTTTGCTTCAGTCTTACAAAGAAATGGAATAAGGGAAGGTTTAGAGAAGTTCATGGCCTAGAGTTAGTAGACATTGAAAAACCCAGTTAATTATAATTAAGGTATGAATATTAATAACTTCGGTTTTGATGTATTTCAGAGGAGAATTTGCTCTTTGGCTTGATGGAGATCTCTACCATGGAAGAAGCCATTCCTGCAAAACGTTTGGGAATCATACACTCTCTAAGAAGGAAGATTTCTTCATCCAAGACATTGAAATCTGGGCTTTTGAATAAATACAGGGCTCTTGGTTGCAGCAGGACATCGGCCCAAACCTGAATGGACAAACGCAGCGTTCGTTAGGAATGTTCAAGAAGCAATACAATTCATATGTCACTCGTGCTTTCAAGTCAGGTGTTTGGCCATTTACTGCAACTATAAGTTTGGAGTTTATTTTTCAAATCATGTTTCTGTCCCAGAGTTCTTTTGTTTACACCATGGCCTGTGATCCAGTAGTGTAGCAGCCAGGTGGGATTTGTCAGCATAGTGCAGCAGCATTCGGATCAGAGAGGCCGCCACCTTTTCAGTTCACGTCATCTCAGTCCTAACGGGATGGTGCTCTGTTCAACTTGTTTTTAATCTGTCTTCATTCTTTTTATAGAGCAGTGTACTTGGGGCGTTGAGGAAATGGAGCCTAGATACTTTTGTGTCTGGTGGAGTTGGCACAGGTGACATTTGGGCCTACTTACATTTTCTTCTAGATAAGAAACCACATGCCAAAATAACACGTGCTTCATAGACCTCTTCTATTTCTAATTCACTACAGCATTCTCTTTATTCATTTTGTAAACATTCTCGATTTCATTTAAGACAATGACATTGGAGGAGCAGTCTGATTGCCATCGACCACAGCACACACGATCGGCAGGTTTGGGCGCATGTTTTCATCACTGAATTTTCAGATAGAGTTACAAATTGACAGAGGAGAATGGGAATTCAATGATTCTATTGGATTTAATATATTAAGCAAGTAATAGTATTTACATATTTGTAGCTTAATAGGGCATTATCATAAGTACAAAACTAAAACGTGCATATTTCTTCAACATTGTGTCAGATACACTGTTTTACAGTTCTCTTGTTTAGCCTTGTTGCATACCAGCTCCCTCAATACATTTTTGTTTTGTTTTCTGCTCAAAAGGAAAAAAAAATTGTTTTGAAATAAAAACGTGTTTTTTTTTCTAAGTGGTATACGTTATTAGTTACCATTAGCAGCTGCTCTTCTAAAAGGGCAGTGACTGTAGTAGCCAGCACTGTAACTCAGTAGACTTGGTAAATGTGCAAGCTTACTGTCAAGTGGCCTCAAAAACGAAAAGGTAGAATAAACTAGCAATTGTATCCTTTCTTGTAGGAAACCAACAATACGCCATGTGGCAACAATTCATCAGTTAAATTTCAGAGCTTCATGTTATGCAAAAAAATAAATCCTGCTGTTATACGTGACAGTGACTTTGTGCTGAAAATTCAGCTGTTCCACACAAACGTTGTATATCTTGTACATTGATGTTTAAAGATAGTTTTGTTCTTATACAAAGTGTTGACTGCCAGGTTGCTTATAGCACTTTAAATTATTCTGAAGATGAAATTACCAGCCAAGTATGTTGGCTTAAGTAGTTTTAGTTATATAACTCTTAAAAATACCTAGTTCTTTTGGGGACAGTTTAGATAATTATCTAAAGAAAGCATAATATTAATGAGACTCTCTCGTGCTCTATGACACGCTGTTGCCGAAGATGAATAGAAACGGCATCGTTTTCTCGTCTGTGTAAAGCTCTCGTTCTAAATAGGTCATAGTGTCTAGGTTAGATGTTTATAATATAAGGACTGTAAATAAATGTACCCTTCCCCCTTTAGTCTTCCACAGCAGTATTATTGTCTTTGTGGAGGTGACTAATCACAAAACTTTAAACATCCTGTAATGGATTCCAACTACAACAAACTCATAGAGATGTATACCAAATAAAATTAAATGCATAAATGCAAATGAGTTTGGATTTATTCAATAACCAAGTCATTACCATATCTAAGAACTGGTAATAAACCTGCTATAGTCTCCTGACAAGTGTTCTGCAAATGTGTCTTGTGTTGGTGTGGCTGTCACAGGAAGTGATAGCAGTTTGAATTCAGTTAGAGGAAGCACTGCTGTTTAAAATATTTGGAGAAACACTTTCCCAGCAGAAACTGCAGGGGATTTGATGGTTGGAGCTGGTGGGGGAAGGTAGAGAGTACATAACGTACATCCCAGGATCATGAAGAGGCCCATGCCCAGCACCAAGCAGTTTGTTTTAATCTCATGGAACACTTGAGAATATTTGAGTAGAGAAATAACATGGACTGGTGTGCCCTTTAGGAAAAATTTTTGTGAAAAAAATAGATTAATAGAGAAAAAAGCTAGAGATGGAAGAAGAAATAAGCAATTCTATTGTAAAATTCAGAGGGGAGAAAAATGCAGCGTCAATAAGAAGAAAAAATAAAAATGGAAAGAAGTATGAAAGAGGTTTAAGAATTGGGTTTGACAAGATCTGGCTACCAACTGGGTATCAGCATTTAAAGATAGCTATGACCAAAATACATTGTGTGTATATGCTTAATACATATATGAAAATCCCCAAAATATGGGTAATATCTCAAATATCCTTAAGGTTTTGACTTAAGAACTCACGTGTTATTATCATGTTGCCAGTGTATAACGAGGCAAAATAGAGCATGGAGGTGATGACCGTTCATGACTCTACTTCCTAGTATGGTATGAGAAATTATCAACTAGAAGAAAACATTTAATATTCTATTTCAAAATACTAAGTTTTTAAACCAACAAGGTAATATCTTTGTGCATGAAATGCCCTTGGAGATTATAGACCTGGTTTAAAATAGGGTTCTTGAAATAGAGCCTTTATTTATTTTCATCAAAATAATATTGACCAGCATAAGAAAAGGCTTCAAGCTTCCCTCTCAAGTTAAAAGAAAAACAAATTGTACCTAAAGCAGGTGTGAATATATATATATATATATATATATATATATATATATATATATATATATGTATATATATATATATATATGCAGAAATCAATACAATTTTAAAAGTATGGAAAGCATAATCTGAGAACAATCAGTTTTACTTGTTAGAAAAAATTAACATGAACAAAAATTAATCAAAAGACTAAAGGTACCATTAACAGATGACAAGAGGTTATTGTGGAGCAGAACAATCTCCATGAACAAGGCAAAGTTAAGAGAAGTAACTATCAATTCTCGGGAGAATTAAAATAACCAATAATAGCCATTTCAAAGGGAATGTGATAACATAACACTGTCAACTAAAGCCAAGCATGAGATTCCCATTGGCCAGCAAACTTAATTCCGTTGTAGATGCCCAATGGCAGTGAGTATATATTTTGGCCAAAAGATGCAGCCTATGTATATGCTCCTAAAAGCTAGTGTACTCTGGTAAGACGTTAGCTCTTCTCTGTATTCATTTCTTGTCATTCCTACAGAACACTGATATCTGTATTTCTTAATATCCTTATTTTCAAAACATCTTTATGAGCATTTACACACACATAACCTATGTTGTATGCATATGCATTTTATATTGCTTAAATTTTACCTGCAAGAGTTATTTGGGGAATAGAACTTAAACCCAAAAGAGTTAGTACAATGTAATCTTATTGGATACTGGAATCTCTCCCATATCTGAGCACAAGCCAGTGCAACACAACAAAATCTGCTCTGACACTTCAAATAGTGTAAGTCAGCCTGTAAATTAAGTAAAACACATTGACTAGCTTTGCACTAAGAATTGTCCAGAGTACAAAGAATAAAGTGGGGACATTCATGCTAAGGGACCACTTCAGCACAGGCCACATGCTTTGTCATACAATGACTGAGTGGAAGGGGTGTAACAGAATTCTAGCTCACATCGAGTGATAACTGTACCATGAAAAATGACTCTGGTAATTTTACTTTATTTCTGTTGATAACTAGGACAGCAACTGGTGTTTCAAAGGGAAAGAGGAAAAAAAAACACAAAGTATTCATGGGTGTGATGTTATTTTACTACACAATATGGGAAGAAAAATGACCTAAAGCTCAGATGTTCCTGTCTTCAGATGTGAGAATGAGGAGAAACTGAATCAGGGAGTCTCCATCTCGTGCACACTCGGAAGGAAGGAGTGAAGAGCAGGGCTGGGGAGGAGTCAGGAACAAAGGGAAGACTTGGGGTTTGGGAGAGCAAGTGCATGCCGCTAGGAATTTAGAACTATTAATGAGAAACTATCATTTTATATACCTTGTGACTAAAGCAGGTCTTTGCATAGTTTGTTTCCTGAGCTTTCTCATTTTTTCTTTTTGGTCAAAATGTTTTCAAGTACGAGTTTCTCTGTCCTTTAGGAAGAGAATATTTTGAATTGGAAGTTAGGAAAAATTATAGGACTAATTAATGGTCTTACAATTCATTATTAAGTACCATAAAATAGAATAAGAAAAAAAAATCTACAAAGAATTAACCGTTCATTGTGTTACCAGAGAGCTCTGGTGACACGTTGCTATCTGCCTGCTAAGATGCACCTGACACAAAGCGTTCCCTCTAAGAAGGGATATAGCGAACTTAGAGTCCTTACACAATTCTGTCTTACATGGAGTTACTCCTGTACCAGGACAAATGTGGGTATCAGGAAAGGAACTGACGTTTGAAAGTTAAAACCCATAACCAAGCTGAGAATGGACGTGATCTCACTTTGCCACACAATATGGAAAAGGTTTTCAGTATATTCTTTTTTTTTTTGTTTTGTTTTGTTTTTGTTTTTCGAGACAGGGTTTCTCTGTATAGCCCGGGCTGTCCTGGAACTCACTCTGTAGACCAGGCTGGCCTCGAACTCAGAAATCCGCCTGCCTCTGCCTCCCGAGTGCTGGGATTAAAGGCGTGCGCCACCACCGCCCGGCTTTCAGTATATTCTTAAGTTCAAACAAGCTGGACTTTGAATAATCTTGTTCCAGAACCTGCAAAAATCTTTCTATGCAGAGATGAGAAAGCAGGAACTCGTGAAGCATTAGGTGAAATGCTGACAGATACTGGGAGTGTCCCAAGTTCAGGTCTGAATTTGTTTTATTTCAAACACACACTGTTTGGGGAATCTAATCTAAAAATAATGCAAAAGCAACCAAAGCTGTAACAGCTCCCAGTCTGCTGGATTTCTTCAGTTCTGACATGGTTCTCACTGTGGCAAAACGTGTGTGTATACATCAGAAATCCCACTAGGAATATGAGTCAGGACTAGTGACTAGTTTGGAAACAAAATTGTGTATTTTCTCTTAAATATCTTGGAATTATTAGTTTGAAGCAATCATTCTTGACAATTTCTAAAGTAGTTTAATCTATATTATGTTGGACATGTAACAATTATGGATTCCCATTATTTTGAGATATAATAATTTGACATTTATTTATTATAATACTTATACAAAGCATTATAACCATTTTAATTGTAGTTTTTTTGAATTCAGTAAAAACTGTAGTCTTACATATTCATTTGGTTTTAGTTATAATACACATTAAGATAAAAATTGGTCACTGGCAGGTCAGTGTTAATTTCCTGGTATTAAATTAGCTTTTTCTTTATCTCAGAAGAACTGATATTGTGTTTGTTTGTTTGTTTGTTTTGATGGCTTTTTTGTTTTATGGCATTTTCTTTGTTAGAATAGGAAGCAAGTGTGTTTCACAGGTTCATTTATTAGCATAAGTGTAAGCAGCATTACCAAGTAAGACTTTCAGCAAGAATCAAACCTGCTCATGAAGCTCCACAAAGACAAGTCTGACCCTCCCACCTGCATCCCACTTTCCTGGTATGTACCATCTTTGTGGGTCATAAGGCCACTGAGAGCATCTGTTTCTGCAGGACTTGTTCACATCAGAACGAGGAAGGCTGACTGAAGGAGCCTGGCTGGGATTGAACCATACAGAGGATCCTCAACATCTTGAATTCTAACTTTGTTTATGCACCAAAGGTGCTGTGATTTTTTTTTTTTCAATAGTGGAGAATATCCACAGAAGTAGGGTACTGGCAGGCATGAGGCCCTGGGTCTGAGCCCTTGCACTTTTAACAAAGTGGGAATGATTTTTGCATGTAAACCTGCTGTCTCAGCACTACAGAGGAAGAGCTGTATAATAACCTTAAACGAGTTGGAGGCCACTCTGAGATGGTGAGGATTTTTTTGAAGCCAAACTTTAAATTTTATTCAGCTTAAAGGAATTTTTTCCTTAAAATATTACTTACATTGAGATGCTGTTCTAGTTTATCTAAGGTCAGTTTTCTTTCTTGTAATGTGTAATTTTCAATTTGTAATAATTTTATCAATGGTCAGAATTTTTTGCTTAAAAATATAAGTGGAATTCCAAATATCAAAATGCTGAGTATGTATTGTAGTCTTAATGCTTCTAAAATGTTCTGAGTGTCTTTTGTCAAAGTCTTCACATAGTAGTAACTTCATAGAAACAATACCAAAAGCCGTTTATAGACAATCATTTAATACTGATGGCATTCCAGAGTAGTTTGCCTTTGAACTTGTAATACATTATCACTTAATAGTAGAACAACGGTGAGTTGATTTGTTGAGGAATTACTCGAGGAGAGTAATCACAACATGGTCATCTTGGCCTTGCCATAGCATCTCCCCTTCAAAGTGCACCAGTCCGTGCTTCCTGGCACGCATGAGGATGCCCACCACTTTATCTGAAATGCGAACATACCTATCGAAGAGTTCTCCGAAAGTAACCTGGATCTTGCCGTCTCGTCTGTGGCGAGCCATTGTGCGGATAACAAAGCACAATTCCATAATTTCCCGATAGATGTGCTCCTCGGCTCGCTTGGCCCTTTCAGCTGTCTTGCTCCCCTCTTTGGGGCGGCCATAGCCCTCGTCTCCCTTGTGGAGCCGAGTGGACATGGCTAGGTCATAGTCAAATTCTTCACTGAAGGGATTGAGCTTCTGTGACTGTATGTGTTCCTCCGCCCACTGCTGCCACCTCCCTTTCAAGCTGTCTACTTGGCTGTATTTCCGATGGGCCTTACAGTTGAGTGTCTCTGAGTATCTGTTTGCCCTAGAGGAGAGAAGTGGAGAAGCAAGGTGAATACGTAAACAGCAAGTGCCATGGACCATATGTACTTCCCATGTGTAGTTTCTGTCATGATAAAATATATGTCACTGCTTTCTCTGCCAATAACAATAATGACTTAACCATTAATGATATTGAGCTCAAGCTTAAAAAAAAAAAAAACACAAAACCTTCCTTACATAGAGTGTGAGGATATCTACTTCTAAAATGTCTCATGTCATGAACATTCCTGAACTGGAATCAGTTCTTAGAGGGCTTCTGATACCAGCTATTTCCCAAACATGCATTTTGGTACTACTATACAGATTGGAGTAGTTCTACATAGAATTCCATGTTTTTCTGTTCATTTGTTTTTGTTTTTGTTTTTTTACAAAACCTATTTACACTAGAGTCAACGATGAACACATTTTTTAAACTATTGGATTGCACAGATAGAAAACCAAAACCTCTTATTGAACACTGTATGCTGGCATCCTTCTAAACACTTTGTTATTATTTTCTACAATCATCTTCAAGGTGGATAATATTTCAACTGTGTGGATGAAGAAACTGAAGGCAGAAAGATTAGGGAGCACCCTAAAGACACAAAACTATGAAGCAGTAGGCTAAGACTGGACTTTGAAGCCAAGTAAAGCTGTCAGGAAGCAACTCTTAAGAAATACTGCTTGAGTCTATAGCAAAGGAAGGAGTCCATCTTCCAAAGCACCCACTTTTGTCTCCAGAGCATTAAGTAGCCTCGTGCCTGGGAGTATTGGACTTGAAGATGTGACAAGAAGTTCTTGCACTGTCTCTATGAGTCGCGTGACAGGACCCTATAAGCACTATAATTCACTGCACTCAGCCCAAGAGTAACCCAGGCTTATCTTTCAAGGTACAAACTTCTAAATTCTTGGTGACGAAGGGGATCAGGTGACAAAGGGATATATAAAGCTATATATGGTTTAAATGCACCCTCGCAAGTCATTTTCAAGGAAATAACATCCACTAGATGGCGAAATTTCATTAATTCCCATGTTTGTTTCAGAAAGTCCTCTGGCTAAACCCTCTCTCTGTTAGGTTAGAATGGGAAGGGAATGAGTTTTGTTTGTTTTGTTTTGTTTTATTTTGTTTTGTTTTGTTTTTGTGTTTGTTGGTTTGTTTGTTTGTTTGTTTTCAGAGCCAGAAAGAGATAAACATGCACCAGGTTAGCTGGGGAAATCCTCCTACAGAACTATACAAAATACAAGTTTATCACACTTCCTTAAGCTTGAGAGGTCTCTAGGAAGTGTCTTAAGGAATTCCCCAGCACACGTTTGAGATGGGTATGGAGGGAGACAGTGGTGGTGCCCCCACAGTCAGTGCCCAGTTGTCTTTGTGGCTAAAGAACCCCAGCTCCCCATCCCACTATGCACAGAAATGCTGGTCCTTGGCACTGCTCAGGGACTGTCACTGTTGATTAACCAGTGGGGGTTGGGGGTCACGTGTCAAGATTACGATCTAAATGGCAGTGCCCTCATTGCTGATCAACAGCTATGACCTTTGTTCTCTTTTCTAACAAGCTTGAGACCCAGGCCCCTGATTCTTTTTACAAAATAGTAAGTATTCCAAAATCCAAGAAAAACATTTTGTTTCCTAGTGTGGGGGAAGGGAGTGGGAGTAATTATACTAACAATGGGAATAAGCTAGGTTGGAGAGATGGCTCACTAGTTAAGAGTTCTTGCTATACAAACAGGAGGATCTGAGTTTGAATCCTCAGACCCCACATAAAAATAAAATAAAAATACATTCTAGGTATGGCCAGCCAGGTTCATATAAGCCCAGCCCTGAAAAGCAGGCAGACTGATTCCTGGATGCTCGCTGGCCAGCCAGGTGAGGCAAAATAGCAAGCCGCAGGTTCAGCGAGATTCCTTGTCTTGTATGTGAGTGGTGATTGACAGAGAAAGACACCCGGCATCCTTCTGTGCACAAGCGCATCCACAGACACATACACATACTCATGTGGGAACGCACAGAAAAGTAAAAGGCCATGATTTTTTTTTCCTTTGTTGTAAAGCCCTTCACTTGTACTAAAACCCTGTACTTTGGAGGTTACCGAGATCAATCAGCCACCTTGCTTTATGCTAAGCATGGGGATTATAAAGCAAGCTCCATTCAACCTTTCCAGCTGCCTCATTTACTGTTCATGTGACTCTGGTGTGTCTTAGTGTCTGGCTGTCTCATTTTCAAAGCGTATATGCATTTCCACTACACCAAGATGGTGGTCCATGTACAAATCTAACTCAGGAAGTCTGAGAGTGTGCTGACAGTAGTTCCCACTTGTAGGTAAATCAGTAATAGCATGGACCAGGAGGGCCACAGCGGAAGTTAGCACTGGCCTTTCAGGCCAGGGATGTGCTACCCTCAAGGACCCACTCTAACCGGTAATTCATCCTCTGCCCATTATATTTTTGGTACTGGTTGGAACTCCTTGGTGATTGAGGTATAAGGAAGAATGCATTCACTTACTGGGAAAGCAAGGGGCGTTTGATCCTGGCAGCAGCCACCTGTGCTGCATCTTGTTCAGGCCTCTCCTCCATGTCCCCTCCGTAGCCACTGTCCTCTGTGTCTACGCTGTCACTCTTCCACTTGGGCTCCTCCTGTTCCATCACTTTCCAGCCTTTGGTCAGCTCAGATACCAGGTTGGTGCATTTTCTTCTCCGTGTTGGCGAGTCGTGACTGAGGAGGATTCTGTCAATGTCATTGTCCGGCTGAACAGCTTCAGACACGCCCCCATCGTTCTCATACCTGTGGCTCAGGTAGTTCACATCTCCTCCTCTCTCATAAGCCTTGCTGACAACCGTTCTGGTCACCTCTTTCCTTTTGATGTGGGAGACCTCAGTGGCTTCTTCTGAGCGTTGTCCCTCTCCATCTCCATCTGGCTTTGCAGGTTTGGAGGCATGCTGGTGAGGACTGGGTTCTTTAGAAGTGTGAGGTAGGTCCTGAGTTGCTCCAGGCAGCCAGCCTGCAGGCTCCTGGGCCTGTCTGGTACTGTTTTCATTCGCCCACTGCTGCCAACCTCGAGCCAAATTGATAACCAGGGTTGCTGTACGGACCTTCCGGAGGGCACTCTTGGCTGGCCCCGCCTCCCTTTCCCTTTCTCCAGGAGCCATGCTACCTGCTTCTTCTCTGCTGACAGCCGGGGCACTGGCTAAAGAGGGAATGTGGTTGAGAGAGGTGCCTGGGATTTAAATAGAAGCAGGGTGTGAGTGCGAAGGAGCGCCTGTGACGGTGGAAACTATGCGAAGCATTTCTTGCCAAGATGTGGTGCCATGGCCCTGACGATGTTCTGTTTTTAAACCCTGACAGGTCCCATTTCATCACAGCAAAGGGACATCTCTGGTGGTAAAGGACACCGATATGTTCCCTCCTTTCTTCTCCAAGTGCCAGAATGGAAAGTACTAGATTGAATCATGTGCTCACTTTATGTTTTCCTTGACCTTAAAATATGATCCTACCATTTATAGGAGTATACAGTTAGTGCACAAATTGTCCTAGACCATTAAGAGTTTGTTCAGTTATACCTCTGTAGCCCTCAATACAGCTGTTATTTGGTTTCCTTTAACAGCCGAGTGAAAATATAACTTACTTCCTATAGATAATAATATATGCGATTCAAATCATGAGACGTTCAAAGCTGAAGCTTCCTTTTAATCTATAAAAATTAGAAACAAATTGTAGAAGACTGTCTGCTCAGATCTTCATTTTCCAGATGGAAGTATTGATGCTCAGAAGAAAATAAGGTGCAAATGTTGAAAGGCTAATCATTGTTGAAATCCTATTAATATACAGCATGTAATATATATTAATATTAAGACAGTAATTAGAATAGACATAAAAATTACATTTTATTTTTATGTATTTTATAAATTATGACTAAAATCATCTCTTAAAATATCAAAATGGTTTAATCCATATGACAAAATAGCGGCTTTTATTGGAAGCATGAACTTTTATTTTATTTTATTTTATTTTATTTTATTTTATTTTATTATATTTTATTTTAAGAAAAGGTCTCTTTATGTACCCCTAACTGGTCTGGAACTTACTATGTAGAACAAGTTTTCCTCAAATTCTCAGTAATCCACTTGGCTCTGTCCTCTGTGTGCTAGACTTAAAGGCATGCAACACCAATCTGGCTCCCACCTTGTTGTGTTGTTTTGAATGACTAATTATTAGTTGAGTTCATTTTTAAATTTTGTCTGTTATCGTTGAGGTTGTAAAATAATCACATCATTTTTCTTCTCTCCCTACAAACCTCCCATACATTCCTTTATGCTCATCTTAAAGTTTATGGCCTCTTTTTTCATCAGTTGGTGTGTATGTGTGTGTGTGTGTATGTGTGTTTGCTAAATAAATAAGTGGAACCTGCTAGTCAATATAATGTTATTTGTATGAGGCTACAATATGCAAAATGTACAAAACACTACAGGCAACTAAGGAACGTTGTGAGCAGGAGAAATAGTCGTCCCCAGGGACGTGCTTATCCATTGGTTGTCCAATACCAAATAGGCCTGAAAACAGACATTCCTCTTTGTTTTTAATAATAAAAACTTTGGCAGCAGGCAATGCCATTTGTTTGAACCTTCAGACATCAAGTAAATAAATATTTTTAAGAGAACTGAAAAGATAAGTCATGTGAACAGAGAAACAGCATCTGTTCAGTACAGTAGGCCAGATAAAATGTCCAGAACTCACTATTGAACTTCTTGAAGACAAATAGACCTTTTCTTTTTCTTTTGCCACGGCTTTAGACTTTAAACTCTGCCCATTTCTCCAAGTTTGACATACCACATGTTGAAAACTGTTACTTGTGAGCAGTATGAAAAATATAAAAGTTAATTTCTTCTGATAGACACATTCACTTAAAGTACGGTGTCAGTGTCTCATCATGTCAGTAATTCATGCCCTGGGAGTTAAACAATTTGGAAAATGTTTTGAAACTCTAGAAATCTGTCAGGTGTGTTCTGAGTTCAGCAGCATGTGGTAACATTGATAGCACAGAGACGGGATCCCTCTTAAGTGGGAAATGGGATCACAAGAGCCAGGGAGTAACAAAAAATTAAATCTCAGCTTAAATTCCTGGCCTTTCTTCCTGAAATGTAGGCACATGAAACACTGTTGAGTTCTAGTTGGATTCCACTCATCATCCTCGGAAGGTCATGGATATAATAGGTTCCTCTGATGCTCTCAGAAGCTCAACCCAGGATCAGGTTGATTTCCTCCTTGGAGATTGTTCTACTTTCCAGCTCAATGTTTTTTAGGTTCCATCCTTGTAGAGAAGAAATACAGACAGATGATGCTAACAGGGCTTCATAAATTAGTAAGCATTGCAGTCGGCTGCCTGAGGCTTGGGGCTGTCAGCAAATGGTCTTTCAGGGGCAGAGAATAACTCCTAAAAAGGTCTGGCTGTTCCTTTGACATCAGGCTTTAATGGCAACTGCAGCCCCTTTAAGTGTTTATAGAGGAGTTTACAGCACTTTTCCTCTTTCTGTCTACTTCAAACATTCCTACCCTTAAGTAAGGTCTTGCATACCACCAATCTTTTGATTGCTATAAAAATGTTAGCTTCATGTTCTCAATCAAGCTCCAAGGTCTTAGGAATTATATATTCTCCCATTAAGTATGTGGTACAAAAAAAAATGAAAATAGTAAGAAATGACAATGATTTGTGTCAATACTAGTTCGCAGTGAAAGCCATGTGAAGTGAGATTTAAAACTGTTGGTGGAGATTGAGGCCAGAAGGACTGATCACTTGAGATACTTGCCCTAGGATGTGGCAGAGACAACTCAGTGCTTCAGCTCTCTTATTGCTCTTGCAGAGAGCCCCGAGCTAGTGGCTAGCACACATATAGCAGGTTTCAACTGTCACCAGTTCCCGAACACTCAGTGCCTTCTGGCCTCCACAGGCAACAAATCTGTATGTGGTAAACATACTTAAATACAGGTGAGACACTTGAACACATAAAAAATCAATATTGATTTATTCCCTATATGATCACATGAATGGTAGCAGAAAAGGCAAAGAGATACTTCTACTTACTACTGTTCTAAATCAAGTGCAGCCAGTTTTCACAGTCAACAGTATGAGGTCACCTTTATCTGTCTTGCAGATATAAAACAGTTTCTAAAACACACTATATTTATTCAATTTATAGGGTCATAGCAAATTATGGGGTATGTTCAGACAGTAGAGATGCGGAGATAAGGAGAGTCGAGCAAAGTAACACATCAGTCATCTTAGTCTCTTTTTTTGATACAGCTGAAAAAAATTGATTTTAAAAATCCATAGAGCAATTCTATTAACTATACTCCCAACCTAATATATTGAACGTGAGCATTACTTATCCTCCATACCTGCTACTGGGTAATTTCAGCCTGAGTTTTCCTATGTCTGCCCAGTACTTCCCCTGCCACTGCTAAATGCTGGTACTTTCAGTTTGACATTGTTCTGTTTTTATTATCGCATGCGTCATTCAGATTAGAGACTATATATTTTAGTGCATTGTGTTCAGCTAAGTGTGTCTTCTGTATCCATCTATGCTGGATGAAATGACAGAGTCCAGCTGATGTCAATCCTCATGACATGGGGGAGATAATGAAGTCATTTCTATTTTTTGGCTTTTGTGAATAACACTGCAATGAATATGAGAGTTCAGATATCTTTTCCAAAAAAAGATTGGTTACTTTTATTTTATAACAGTGTAGGTATGTATGTCTCTGTGAGGGTGTTGGAACCCTGGAGCTGGAGTTACAGCAGTTGTGAGCTGTCATGTGGTGCTGGGAATTGAACCAAGGTCCTTTGAAAGAGTGGTCAGTGCTCGTATTTGCTGAGCTCTCTCTCCAGACCCTAGATATCTTTAAAAATGATTTTTCTTATTTTTTGAGAATTACATAGAGTATATTTTTTCATGTTATTTTCAAATGCCAGTTTTTTCTAGCTCTTCTCCAACCTCCCTAGCCAGTCAACTTCAGGTTCATTCTCCTTACAAACCAAAAACCCTAAATTCCAGTTTGTATTGGCTGACTATTCATGGGCCTGGAAGTTGGCTTAGAGTATAACCAAATATCACTCTGTTGAAGAAAATTGACTTTTCCTGACCCAACAGCAATCTGATGTCAGAAACTCCTTGGTTACAGGTGGAATTTCTTTTTCTTTTTTTTTTTTT